GGACAGATGAGGTGCTTAGGGACATGGTTTAGTGGTGGGATGGCAGGGTTAGGTTAATGGTTGGACTCGATGATCTCAAAGGTCCTTTCCAACCAAAGTGATTCTATGATTCTATGATTCTGTCCTCCCCATCCAGCGAGCATGCTGTGGGGCCGGGGGCTGCAGACGGCAGCCCAGTGCTGTGTGCGATGCGCTGACCACACCGCTTGTGCTGCCTGCAGCTGAGCTCCGTGAGATTCTTTAACTCATCTGTGATCGCCATGTGTCAGCTCCTTCCTCCAGCATGCCAGAGATTTCCTCTTCCCACAATCTGCTGGCATTACTGCTCAAGTAATTGGTTACTTAGTTCAGTTAGAATGATCTGGGCTAGCCTCAACACCAGTAGTACGCTTTTAAAATTATTTTTTAAATTTTTGTTAAGCCTGCAGATGGAATGGGGGCGGTGGGCATCCACATGGGTTATGCCACGGGTGGTAACTTGCAGCAGGGGCAGAGGTGGGGAATTTTGGGGCAGGGAGGCAAGCAGGGTGAGCAGAGGGGCTGGGGGTGTGGGACAAGCTCCCCATGCCCAGCTGCAGGAGAAGAGGGCCAGCAGCCAGAGACAAGGAGGAGGAGGAGGGAAGGGAAAGGCTGAAACCCATTGGCACGTACCTGCAGCGACTCAGCCACCAGCAGGACTGCTCGGGGTCTTCAGACTTGGGCCAGGCATAGGACTGGGATCCTCAGCAGCCAGCAGCCAGAACCATGTCCTACAACTACAAGCCGGCCCCCAGCAGTTTGTGGTTAGTAATGTCGAAAAGCCGCTAGTCCCCATGTTTAAGAGGAACCAGAAGCTAACGTCCGTCATCGAGCACAAAACCACACAATTATCGCCTCTGTTGAGAGGGACCTGGGCCACTCAAGTGACAAACGCTTTCCTGATCGCTGGCTATCATATTTAATAGAGCACGTTAAAAGTATGATCTAATATAGTGTGAGATTTGGGACAGAGTGTTACTATGGTTATAACCTCCTTTGCCTTCTTCCACTTGCAGGCAACAAATGAAAAATAGAGCAGGAGATCGTATTGTTCACAGATATTAACTGGTCCAGCTCTGGAATTCTCTTAACATAATTCTCCTTCTCCATAGTCAATGAAGGTTTATTAAAGATTAGAAGAAAATAAATGGTCCTGGGTAGACAGGCTGGGGGATAAGCTTATTTTTGCTAATTGAGATGGAAAACTTTTGAGGCTGAATTCCCACCTTAGGCTGCTTACTAGGTAACTTGCCAATCTTTAAAGCTGTTACAACTAGATTTATACTACCTTGCCAGACAAAATACACAAGGAATAAACTGGAATGATCACAAATGCATTCTTTTTTCTTTTTTTTCTTTTTTTAAAAAAAAGCAACTTACCCAGTTGCCAGAACTATATTTAAAATAGAACATCTACCAAGAGCTTTATATGGCCCCCATAATTGCTGTGCACCTATCTGAAACCAATCAAAACAAGTAGAAGTCTATTTAGGAATATGGTTGGGAGATATTCTAATCCATAAATAATATATGAAACTGCCTAGGGACGATTTTAAAAGGGGGTTTGTTGACATGGGTAAGAAATTTTGCACTAGTGAATAGAAATAGCTGAAAACAATGCAATCTTCTTTGGATAATAGATCATTTTATTGTCCAGTGTAAGTATTGTAGAGAAAACCAAAGAGACTGAAATTATTGGCTCTGTTTAGAAATTATAACACTGAAAATATCAAAGTCAAAAAATAAAAGCCCAAAACAATACTGGGAGATGAGAGGTCTGGTCAGGTTTTAGACAGACTATCCAAACAGCTGGAAAAGATGTTGATTCTCTGAGGGAAATTTGTAATGTATTTGACTCATGTTTTTGTGGAGCTGCGGATTATCCCGAGGGGTTTGAAAGAAGGAACATATGCCTAGAAGTTAAGAACATTATCTGGAAAATGATAGTATTTTAGTAGTTTTCCAATATAGCCCGCAATAGAATCTAAATTTTAAAAAAATGAAAGAAAAAGTAAAACAAGAACTGGTGGGGTGGTCAAAATGAGAGATTACCTGTTTATGAAGGGGATTCTTCTGCTTTGTTTTCACAAAATACAAGTAAGCTCATGTTTTCAAAAACTGTTTTCTTTACAAAAAATGTTTTCAGGATCAAATTAAATTTTTAAAAATATTATCAATTCCTTCCTGATTTTCACAATTTTACATCCATTAAAGTGACAGAACAGAAATAAAATTCGTCATTAATACAGCTCTTACTGGCTTGCTTTTTCAAGTCACATATGTACTCCATGTTGTAAGTGACAGACTACCCTCAACATGTGTAATACTGTCTTCACAAGTAAATCTGTTTTATAATGATTACGACTTTACAAACTATTTATTTTTAGAGATTTGCAATATGCTCCCTCTCACCATTTTCAAGTACTTCATGAAACTGGTAATTACGGAGATATTTTGTGTCTTTCTGCAATTACGTCGTCTTGTCTTAGAAGCCAGCTTCATGTAATTAAAGATGGGCCTGGAATGGCTCACAACGTCACTTTTCCAGACAAAGGTGGTTGTCTTCTCTTAAAAACAGTGGCTGAAATTTGTGACATGTCAAACCAAGCTGTCTAGTGTGCATCATCTTACTAATTACTAATTATTTACTAGTTACTGAATTAGTAATAAAGGTAAATACTCGGAAACTAGTCCCAGTTACTGCTTCTTGTCCCACTGATAAAGTTCGGGGTTTTTTACTTCTATTTCAGTGATCTAGCATTTAAGATTTGGAGGAAAAAAAATATATACCAGGTACTTGTGGAAGGATCACACAGAATTTACAAACACCTCTTGACTGACAGGAGGCAGTGGCAGACAAGGCTCTGTGAGAAGGGATGTGCCTGGTGTACCTGACTGACCACGAGATGAGAAGGGATGTGATGCGCACTCGGGGCTTGGCATGGGGCACCGTGCCCCTGCAGGGTCCCCAAACACAGGGCCCTGGGGGTCACACACACCTCTGCCAGCTGTGTGGGTATCACAGCCTCACCTGCTAATGTGGCTGACAAGGAAATTACACCATCGCCCAAACCACCGTGTCCAGCCTGATGGGAGCTACACAGAGCAAGCGAGACCATGATGTTGAGACAGCGAATAGCACCAAGATCAAATGCATTAGGAGTGACTAATATACAAGGACTCACCGTTTCACAATTCTCAGAGTAAGAAAGTTGACAAATCTCAGTATGCCAGAGCAGGTTACATGTTCTTTCTGAATTGGGCAAGTAATGAGAGTTCATCAAGTCACTGATCAAGCTGAAGCCAGCTTTGGACACAAGAAATTTTGATCCCCTCCAGCCTCCAGCTGCACCTCCCAAGTCGGGCTGCTGGGGGGGTCCATGCCACTGCATGGGGGGCTCCTGGCTCAGCTGCGATCCTCACAGGTAGGTGGCTAAACCTGCTCTTTGCTGGTAGAATCATCCTGGTGGACTAACTGGCCATGTGGCCCAAAGGCCGAAGCCTCATCACAAATACACTGACAATACCAATTCTGAGACAATTTTGGAAAGAAGAGCACACTGAACAAGGCTGTAAGAGCCCGATTCTGTTCCCAGAAAAATTCAAAAGCGTTCTTGCCATTAATTTTGTTTGGAGGACACAGCTCTGCTCAAGAGTAATCAAGTTCAAATTGTTTGCAAGCTTAACAGTTTTAAGGCTGAATGATGAACACATCCAAACCTTCGGGGAAAAATTCTGCTTGCTCTTTTAGTCCAAAAATGACAATTAGAGTTTAAGCAGCACAGTTGAGCAGATCCAAACACCAGTTTAAAATTCAGTCCAGAATCCAGAACATAGCAGCCAACTGAGAAGTATCTGGGGATGTCCAGATCAGTCCAAAGAATTTATAACACAAAAACAGCATTTACTTAATAATCATAATAAATGTACAAAAGCATGTTAATATAAAGGCCAAAAAAGTAATTGTATTTACCAGGATACAAAATTCTGACCAAATTTTACAGCAAACCAGTTAAATTTGAGAAAGCCTGTAACTGGGTTTTTACTTCACCTTGAAAAATTACAGGTCGAGCATCAGAATTTTAATTTTGAGTTGAAATCAAATAACAAACATGTAATGAGAAGACTTCTGTTACTGTGGAAGACCTCAAACTATTTGAAACTCAGAGTTTGGTTTTTTCCCCAATACTAAAATAAAGGAATGCAGATTCACAAACAAAATCTTTAAAACTGAAACGTTTTTCCTATGTTCTTAATTTAAACCGTATCTCAATTTTGGATCTGTTACAGCAGCGGAGGCAGTCTTTTCAGGATCGGTTTAAACTCTTATGCACAAATATTTCTCCGTTTCAGTAATCAGACGGGTCTGTTTTAAGACAATAAGACGTGACAGGTAGCACATTTGCAGGAGATCAGTGAGTCCCTTGGTTGCTCTGCAAGACACAGGTCTAAAGGCAGAGTGACATCAACCAGCCGAGAAGTGCAGTAATCCGCTGGGACTAGCTGTCATGTCTCATTGTCGTTATGAAAGAAAAATGGTAAACAAGGAAGCCAGTCTGCAATTAGGAATTTATGGATGTTTGTTAATGAGTATCTCAGACCTAGTCAGACAGCTCCTTTTGGAGTATTTTTCAAATTTCACAGGCTGTTTCAGAATGGTCCTTCAAAACTGATTAAAAATGCCACCATCATTAGATTATATGAGAAAAAACACATTAATATGTTAACACAAATACACTCTGAAAGCCTGGGGAACACACACCCCCTGTAAGTTTCAGACATCAGCTCATTCCAGTGGACAAATAATCCAGGGATGAAAAAAAAAAGAGGAGAGGGAGAAAGGGATTTAATTCATAAAGGCACAAAAAAGAATGACCCAAGAGGACTCTAAGGACCAAATTTAATATATTTCTGGTTTAAGCCACACAGACAAAAATGAGGTATCAGAAATCATACATTGTGATTTATGCTAAAGGAATCCTTCAGAAAAATCCCCAGACAATCACACAAAAAGATAATGAGGATAAGATGATACAATTTAAATGCAGATCACCCAGACAAACACCCTCTCGGTCATTTAGTAAGTCCAGACAGATGGTTCTTGCAGCAGTTCTCTTACCCTGACTATCCTTAAATTCAGAGTAATCGCTTGGATGAAGCATAACCTAAAGGCAAAACCCAGCAAAAAAAAAAAAAAAGCCTTTTTAAAAAATCTTTTTTCTTAATATTAATTTAAGTATCATTAAAAAAAAAAATAGAATGCAACTAGAGCAGGAAGATATTAAGAGAAAGAGAGAAACACTGATGATTTATAATGAGTGCTGGTACCAGACAGGGGAGTAGGGTTGGGATGGCAGTGGATAAGCAGTTCATAAAAGTGTCTTGGGCTACAGGTCATATGCAATATAACACAATATCTTTTTTTATGGGAGAGATTTACTTGCATGTCTATTTAATCCTTTGCTGCATGCCTTGGTATACATACGATCCTTAAGAGAGACAGTACAGTGCTGTTTCATATATGGTGTTTAACAGCGTCCAGGCACTATTCTGCACTTGGAGTTTCATAATTGATCAGAACATATTTCCCCCAAATAACATGGATTTTTCCACAATTTTGTGAACAACAAAGGCAAACATCCACTGAACAACCTGGCAAAGCCTTAAGAGAAGTTTGCCCATGAAACAGAGAGGAGCAGGTCACAGAACAGCACTTACCGCCATCAGCTAAGGCCCAACTAAGTAAACAAGTTTTGTCTGAAACCATGTTTCATTTGAGTTATGGGGAAACACGTTACTACTTGCCTGTTTGATATGTTTGCCTCCTTGCAGATTAACCCAGGTGCTGCATGTTGCACGGGTCAAACCAATTTCAGAGCGGCATGCCAGAGAGCTCGTAGACGTGAAACCATTCTGGTCTAAGGGCATGAGAGGCCCAGTTTCCTCCTCCCTGTTCACTATCTCACCTTGAAAAGTTGTAAGAGGGAGGGAAAACCTGACACTGCAGCTGCAATACACTTCTAGTCACCGCTGAACCCCCTCCCACCGATAGCGTCTCTGCAGGCCCTCCATCCAACAGATGCCCTCACCGCACTCAGGCGTGTACAAGCTGAGCAGAGCTCAACTGGAGGGCTGTTGTCCTGGCTCATGCAGTGGAAGTGACCCTGACAGACCCGAAGAAGTGCCGAGTGAAAATGAGAGATCGAACTTCATGTAGCAGTGTTGCAAGGCTCTGCTACACATTATTTTACATGCTCAAGTCATCAGAGCGGCCATCACTCCAGCTCAGAGTGTCACAAAACCTTGCAAACCATCTGCACGGTTGTAGGAAACAACACTGCCCATACAGTTCAAAGACACGGGGCACAGTGTTGTTCCACATCTACTCAAATTTAGACATTTCTATGGCAACATGAAAATCATCTCATACAAATATAAATATTCCTATGTAGTACTAATATAAGTGACCCAAAGAGGAGACTGGTTAAGTTTCAAAAATCATCTTAGTTGTACAGTCACAGCAAACCCCAGTGCACAGCAACAAAAAAATACTGTATTTGGAGCATTTCACATGTAATTACATGAATTATGATTGAAACATATGAAGGAATTCAAACATACTAAAAATAGTAATAATATTCCTTTTAGAACTGGAAAAAAAATTACTATGAATGATCCAAAACAGGACCAGGGATCTTGTATTTGTACAAGTGATTTTATTTTATCTAGATCCAAGATATCACAGCAAGATCAACAAAACATTTGACGGATGCAAGGTTATAGTGCTTGAATGCGGCATATCCCAACTCTTACACAGCACTTGATGTAGGTGCAAGTGCCTGCCTTTTTCAAATCTCAGATATAAATGGATCCAAGGGGAATCAGATATCTTCTTGCCTAACAGCTGCAGCAGTATATAGTTACTGTGCTGCAGATGTTTCTACTGTCATTCCCCACACACACACACACACTCACTTGAGCAAGATAAAGTAGTTAATTGTGTAAGCTCCAGTACATTTCAGCTCAAAGAAAAGGTTAGCTTAAACTGTCTTCATCCGTACAGAATCATAGAATCATTTAGGTGGGAAAAGACCTTTAAGATCATCAAGTCTGACTGTTTAGATTACACCAGTGCATTTTACTTTGCTCAGAAAATAATGAGGAGCACTCAAACTGCTGGATATGTCACTGCAGTTCAGGGCCAGCAAACAATGTTTTGTGGGGTAACTTCCAAAATAGCTTGTGGCTGCTCCACACAAAACCTGACTTGGCTCCATTTTCATTTTGGTTATTGCAATTGGATTTTCAAGTTCAAGACAGTAAGAAAGACGGGCCATTTTTGCTACAACAAACCTGCTTTCTTCTCTTGGTACCAGGAAGCAAAGCTATGAAAATATATCTGCTATTGTCAAAAATTTAACTTTTTAAAGGAAAATTAATAGTACCATTCCTAAAGGAAGTTATAATCAGCATCCATGTCATGACTCCCAGGAGTCTAGGATTTTAGAAAAATGAAGTTAAGAGTCTGCAGTGGCTAAAGCAAAAGCTTTGTTTCACAAGGCATCAGTATTTCTCCATTTTCCCCAATACAGAATGATATTTTCTTGAACTGCTGGTATTTACTGTATTATCAGCTTCCAGAGGTAACTGCCAAGAAACACTCATATTGTGTGGGTTTTTTTGGAGGGGGGTGGTGATGGTTATTTTTGTGGGGGTTTGTGGTTTTTTTTTTAAATAGTCATCATAAATCAGGCTCTACAATGGTAAACGTACACATAGTGGACACACTGAAGTTCTACTGGCTTGAGAAATAGTTAAAGGAGTTTCCAGCACTGGCATTTTTTCCCCTCAGAACAGGCAAAATTACTGCGAATGGCAGGAGCTGTGCACTGTCTGATCTTCCTATTTAAATCAAACCCTTTATTCCTAGCTTCAAGAATGATGAACAACTTGCCAAAGGCATATGACTAAGGACTCGAGACAAGCCTTATAGGGAAAACCTGCCTCTACAGTTTTTGATCACTTTGACTTAATCAAGCCACAGAGAACGTTCTTGTCAGAGAAGAGCATGGTCTTTGCAGACACAGAGCATCGTAAGAAACAAAAGCAGAGTTACCGAATGGAAACTGTCTAGACAGTCAGCAGAAACTTGAGCGTTAGCAGGAGGCATCAGCATGCCTCTGAGCCATGACAAGAGAGGATTTTGCTCTCTCCCTAGAGACACTCCTCTCCTGAGCAGAGTTCCCACCTGTGAACAAAATGCATAATCACTCCACAGCTTTCTAAGAGCTCTTGTCAGGTTGTACCTACCGTGTGAGCTCAGGCCTCGCATGCGAGCGATCAAATCCCCATTTTGAGGACGCAGCCACAGCATTTAACTACTCCCACCATGTAGCTTGGCTGCCGCTACAACAGCATGCACAGAGTGAAAAAGGGGGAAGCAAAGGGTTCTAGTTTCACATCCCACCTTTGCTCTTGTTTGCAGTAAGGGGATGATACCATAATGACTCCTGAATGTCCTAAAGAAGGAAATCTCACCGTGTCCTAAATTTGCTAATAACTCAAGCATCAGATTACTTCAACTCTAATTGCCTTTTTTGTTTTATTACAAAACCTGTAACTTAATAGCAGTGGAACCACATGGAAAATAAACTGAGGAGAATGTTGATCTTTAAAATCTTTAAGCAAATAAGTATAATTTGATTCTGGTTTTATTTTTGTTTCTGTTTTTTTTTTTTTTTAAAGGCCAGGTGGGTTTTCATAAGTATATTTCTTCTGCAAAAATTGATTCTACAGATGTTTATGAATTTAGAAAAGTAAAGCAATGGCATTACAAATCAGGCTTGGGAAAAATCACCATAGACTGTTTTCACCAACTGCATCACAGGAACATTTTAATATTGACCCTTCACCAACCATAAACTATAGGAAGTATTGAGTGCATTGGCTATTTCCTGCTGGTACCTAAAGTTTAAACATTTGTGCTCAGAACGAGTAACCTGACAGTCAGCTGAATCCACAAAAATTGGTTTTGGGTAGATTGCTTTGGTTACAGGAATGTTATTCAATCTATTAGTGTTTATGTACATTAGCATAATATTTAAATATATTCAAGCTGGTTTTGTTTTAATCTGAAAAACTCAGCAGCTCATTACCACTGGCAGTTAAAATGATGCTAGACTCAGTGGCAGCATGCCTAACCTCAGAATCATTGAGGTTCACTGCAGCAAGCAAGCCTCTAAATCTCCACAGCATCCAGTGGGGACAATCAGAATTGTGCTGATTGAGAGGAAACTACAACAAGGATACAAAAGGGTCACCACACCTAAACAAACACTGCGCCTGAAGGCAATTTCAAACTTTCTATGTTTTGTAAACTACAGAGACTTCTTTTTTCCAAGGAAAAGCAAAATGAGATTCAAGTCTTTCCATTTATTTTCTCTTAAATCATCTGGTTTTCTAGTATTAATTCTTTATGCTCTGCCAAGCAATATTCTAATTTACAGAAGTTTTTGCTGATAGAAAAAAACTTGGGAGCCCTCTCCAATGCCAAGCGACAGCAGTTTAGAGAGCTTAACTGGTGAGTAATGCACTGATGAAATACCACAATGCAAATTTTTTTCAAAATATTTAGGACTTAGAGATTACTTGCGGAAATGGTAATGTTTCCTAACAAATCAAGTGTTTCAAGAACAGACCACCCAAATGTATTATCATAAAAAGATGTCAGTTACTTAATTACATGATAGAACAACACATTTCTACTTTACTTCTCTTTTTCACCTTTTTTTTTCATATTTTTTTTTTTTTAACAAAATGTATCCTCTCTAGAGAGTAAAAGGTTTACAGCAGGAGGCGGGTTGAATTAACTTTGCTAGTAACCAACTTCCTCATGTTCCAATTATTTTGGAAATAGTTTAACTTGAACCATGATAATGTACATATAGCACAGGGGAATGAAAACACTCCCCCTTTTCCGCATCTGAAATGGCTTTACTGAGACCACCTACAGTGACTTAAAACTGTACATACTTCCAACTAAATTTAAAAATACTTGTATTCGTTCAGCGTCTTTTATATAATTTCAACTTCCTCACACAGACTGGTCAAGAACTACTGTATTTCTGCAGTCTGTGCAAAAAGTGAGACATTTCTTGAGCTACTT